CCAACCCATTGTCTTGTCTTAACTTGCATTCAAAGTGGTTTTAAAATATCTTAAATCGAACGCGATGAAACTTATAGAAACATAACCGTGTTCGATGACACTGACATGAGGAGAAAGATGGAGGGAGCAGGGGAGGAGTGACGGGGTGGAAGTGTGTGTGTGTGTGTGTGTGTGTTTATGCTGTTGGCCTATTAGCCGCCCTCCACATGTGAGTCCATCTGGTTGATAATGACCATATGGACCCTCTCTCTCTGCGGGTGATTGAAAGTCTCTGTTAATTAGAGCTGATGTCTCATTTAGTCTCATGTATTTCTCACTGAGATATATTGGTTTCATCTAAATGTGCCATTTAATGAATTAACTAATTGTGTAATTGGCGGTGACGTCCCTTGATTCTGTCTGTTTTCATTTGTGTTTCTGTTGACTTGAAGATGAGAGAAGCGGTGTGTCTTTACCCAGGAGTTAGCCCAGTCCTTTGAGGAGAGATCATTCCATCCAGGAATCAGTCCGATTCGCTCTTTTTCTATCAACCCAGAAAAGACATAAGTCCAATCAGTTGAGAAGGTTTTAATAGTTCTAGAATTGGTTGTTCTGTATATCTAAATGATGTTTATCTTCCTGTACGTAGACATGGCATCTACCATGAAATAATGTGATCCCTGCAAGAACTGTAAAATCTGAATCTTCCTGTTGATTCTGATGCTCATTACTAAGTTAATATCTTGAGAAACTTTAACTAAATGTAGATTCATTAAAACACATCTACTGACTTTAATCCATGTATTACACAGATCCCACAGTAGGCCAAGAATTAACCAGATCCCAGGAGATACTGTTAATTTTAAAGAAAGGCTCCAGTTCATTTTGTTCATTAACAGATGCATAAGACAACATTTCAGTTGCTTTACCAAGATACCAAGATGAAGGTTTATTAAAGACAAATCTCTGCAGTAATCACTGTAATCCATGAGTTAGACACAGCCACACTTCTCTGGGTTTAGTCAGGTCCCTGGAGTTATTTAGCCAGAGCTTGTTAAAGTGCAACATGTGTGCAGAAATCAATTAAAACCCTGAAACGGCAGATGCAACAAGGCAAACAGAGGGAGGGAACTAAGAAGAGGGAACAAGGACTTAAATAAGAGAGAGGAAGAGAGGAGGAGATGATAGAAGCTACAAGGCAGTGAAATAAAGACTAACCAGACTAATTAGACATGTAAACTTTTGTTAACCAAACCAACTGCTCAGCTAAATGAGAACGTGTCTGCGTTTCCTCAGACTCATTTATTTAATTTGAATCTGTTGAAAGCTGAGCTGGAAGAAAACAAACTGTAGATGAGAAAGATCACAGTGGAAAATGTTAATCACATGCTGGGAACAATTACCTGAGCACTCACCTGTATTATGGGGACTGACCTCCAGTGTGGCACAAACATCTGTTTCCATCTGGTTAAGATTTCATTTTATGGTTAGAATTTACTGGGAGTCAACACTGACAGTGAGACGTGAGTGAGCAGCTGTTTGTCTGTCAGCAGGACAGCGGCCAAACAGAGGCTTCGCCAGGCCAACTAGTCTGGGGCCGACATGTCTAATGCACATCTGTCAGAGTCCATGTGAACTGAAACGTATAACAGAGTGGAATTCTCTCTGCAGCTTGAGGCGGGTGTAGAAAACGTGAATTGGGGATTAGGTTCAAGTTTGGTTACAGGTAATTTGGTTATGCACCAGTTAATAGTCAACCTTCGGAGAACTGATGTCAGTACAATGTCTCCATAAGTGACAGATGTTTGTGTTTTCAGGAGAAGCAACGCTTTCTGACTGACGTCCTCCATGAGGTGATGCTTCTGGATGGCCTGAGTTCATCCCACCCGATCTCCCAGGAGGTGGAACAAGCGACAGACATTGACCAGGTGTTCGACTGGATTGCCTACAAAAAGGTAAGCGCCTGCTCACACCAGAAAAAACCTCATGAAACATCTTCATGAATTCTTCTTCTAACTGTGGAAGCTTGGGCTGCGTCCACGTCCCAGGCCTCAACGCTCAGACCTTGTTGTGTTACTGCTTCCTGTCCGTGTGTCAGCGCCATGTACCCAGCTGTGCTGTGAACACCTCTGAGCTCCTAAACTGCCACACATGCACAGATGTAACTGAAATGTGAGCCACGTGTGCACCAGAATAACAACCAGGTCGTGTGTGTGATGGTCAAACGGCCCAGTTTCCTCCCAAACCGCTGGGTTACGATATGTTCTTCCCAGTTTGGCCTGATCAGAAGCTTCTCCATAAACGTCCTGGTCTCTCCACTGACCTTGTCGCTGTCGTTATTTATTGTTACTGGTCTATGAGGGCATGACGCCGAATGATGACGACAGGCCGTATGTGCAGAGGAGGAGACATTAAAAAGACCACATGGATTCTGATCTGACCATTCTAACAGTGCTCACACAGTCAGAGGTCAGACAAGAATCGGGTCTAGGAGCACATGGAGCAGGTGGCCCAGATCTGGTCTCAGGACATCTGGTCTGTTGATGCTGGGAGGGAAACTTTACATATGATCATTTGTTTAGGACCCCAGCTGCATGTACCCATGTCAGAGTAGCTGGTGGATCTACAGGATCAATCTATCTTGGAAACTCAGGTTTCCCACCTCGAATGGAAAATGAAACGTCCCACTTCAGCTCCTGTCTCATGACCATCCCACTTCTCTTTTGTCGAGCTGTCTGCACTTACCTGAGGAGGGCTATAGAGCATTGGATGGTGCAGCACAGCTTATGTGATAGCTTCGTCTGACTTTATGTCAGCACTGAATGAATTTGTCACTGTTCACCAGTGTTTGTGTGTATTTAGGGCCCAGAACATTCACACTCACAGTGCCAGCAGCTCTTATGCTAAAGACTGCGGGGATGTTTTCACCTGTTGCTGTGTTTCAAAGTTTATTTTCCTGTGCTGTCTGCAGGGGGCGGCGCTGATCCGGATGCTGGCGAACGTGATGGGACAGCCGTTGTTTCAGAAAGGACTCAATGTAAGTTCATGTTGTCCTGCTGTGTAGGGTTAGATATCTGGGGACAGCTGGGTGTTGCTTTAACAACAGTTGTCTGCAGCACAATATGGAAAGACTGACACAGATGCTCTGCGTGTGTGTGGCCTCATATTACTCACATTGTGGGGATGTAAACCTGTGTGTGTGTGTGTGTGTGTGTGTGTGTGTGTGTGTGTGTGTGTGCTTAGCTGTATTCTGGCTGAACCCTGGCTGTGTAGAACATACTGTGCATACAGATGGAGTGCAGATAAGTGAATTTGGCTGCAGCAGCAGTTTGAGAGAGGCGTTGCTACTTTTCCTCCTCTGTAAAACCATTTCGACATTACAGTCCTGTGACCTGAATTCAAGTTGTGCACTACTGTTTGGGTGGATCCATCTTCCAGGCAACAGATGTCATGTATACAGAATAAACAACATAACTGATTACAGTATGAACAATCAGAATGACAAAATAGTCTGTCCTCATATTTATCAGTTGAAATGCTGTTCAAAACCATCTCCACATTTCCAGGATTCTCAGTGATACTCGTAAAATAAAACCTTAGTTTAATGAGCTACCATAAACTTTATGGAATTATACTTTAGCTCTCTCACGGGGCACTTAGGGACGAGTTGATCCATGGCTGTGTAGGGCAGCGCTGCTGAAACATGTATCAGGGAGCCGGCGGTAAATTGTTCTTTAAAACTCACCCAGTTGTTTATTAACAGCTCCATTATAGCTGAATATTGAAGGTACCTTTTATTTTATTTTTTTCAAAAGGTTTGATCTGTGAAATGGAAAAGTCATAAATGTGTTTATTTTTTTACTCTCTCACACAGGAGGTAACAACATCAGTGTGTTAATGAGTGGCTGTGTTGCATTATTTATCACTGAGCTGTATGTGGCTGCGCACTGCCTCTTTGCCACTTCACACCAGTTAATGTTAGTGTCTCAGAAGAGCAAAAACTGCAGAAGAACTTGGTCAGTTAAGAGCAGTTGTTATCCATTAAAATGGAAGAAATCAGTTGTCAGTTACTTTAAAAATGGTGTGGTATGATGTAAGGTGGAAGTGAGTTAAATATAGTTTATGTTCTGAATATAATCGTGGAAATGTGCATGAATCCCCTGCACACACACACAGACTATGTCCTGGTTTTCCTGCAGAAACTGTCAGTGACCTGGATCACACTGAGAACCAAACGCTATAAAAAGCCGTGCTGATCCAGCAGGAGAACACACAGACAATACACTGTGTGTGTGTGTGTGTGTGTGTGTGTGTGTGTGTGTTACAGGTCCATGTACCTGTACAGTGTGCTGAACATAAGCTGAGAAGAACATTAGTTTTATTCCTCAGTTGTGTAAAAATATCTTGGGAAAATATTTTATTCAGTAGCTCTCTTCATATTTTCATAGACTTCCACAAGTGTAACCTCATTCCTAGTGCATTTCTACTCATCTGGTGCTTAGTGAGGAATATACCGGTAGCATGTAACAAACCAGCTGTGTCGACACATGAAGTCGTGGTGTGACAGGAGCCTTGGGAGAAATCACTTAGCCAAAGCACGATGCAGAGTCACAGTGATTCCCACATGATGAGTTACATGTGTTTTTAAGCCTCTGTTGATGAAATGCATTAATGAATCAGTGATGGAGGCGTCCATAGCATTTACAGTTCTCTTGTTAGACTCTGTCATAAAGCACGATAACCAGGTTCATCATGTGCTGTGTCCAGTTTGACAAGCTTTTGTTTACATAGCGTGCAAAGGAAACAAGAGTCTGCACAAAGTAAAAGTCACAGTGGCCAGAGGAGGAACCTGGAGGATGGAGGTTTGCCGGTCCTCACTAAATCTGTGTCAGTGACACACAAAGAGATTTCCTTTAAGTTATTATCACTCACGTTTGTCTTTGACATACAGAACGCTTGTTATCGCTGCAAACAAGTTTAGGTCTCATGCTCTTAAAACTTGTTTGTACTGGAATCAGGAGCCGTCTCCGCGTGTGGGGGCGTCTTATCTCCGATCATGTCAGTGTTAGTGAAGGCGACAGATTCATCCTTCTCAAAGCCACACACACACACGGTGTTATCTCGTGTGTTATCTTGTTGCAATAAAGAGCTTCTTCTTGCCTTATCAGCGACCGTACACACCCTGACAGCATCTGACTGTGTGTGAGGAAGCCAGGCACACACTCACAGAGGAGAGTGTGTCACTGAGCAGCACATTACCGTAGAGCTCTGTCTCTGCAGGTGTTGTGTGGCGTCTTCTACCATTCTCTGCCTTTTCCTAGTTGTAATATAAACTGAACCATTCACCGACCTCCCTGAGCTGCTATAAGCCCCAATCCACTGCAGCGGGAGTGGGTTTCTGCTGACAGACAGGGATCAATCAGGTGCAGCCGTCACTGAGAAATTACATGTCAAAAACGAAACCACCGCACTGCTAAGCCCCTTGTGAACTCTCTGGGAGCTTTTCAAGCTTCACCTTGTTCATTAGCTTAAAAATATAGCTTAGAGTGTTGAAGCCTCAGCAGCACCCTCTGGCTCAACACAGGAGCTGCAGCCGCTGCACCACGGGCCCTGCTGGCTTGTTATGCCACCGAGCCTCGACTCCACACTGTGAAACATTAGTGTAAACACACAACACTTCAGATGCCCGGGAGTGATGTGGTGTTAAATCTTTTCTGTGTTTGCATATTGTACTGTGGCCTGTCTGTGCAGATTCTCAGTCATCTAGGTCATAGTAAACTGAAAAAACCTTGGAAAAATCAACTGGACTTAGATTTCTAGATCGAAGACGTTTCACCTTGGATGAGAGGCATGTCATCTCTGCAGCTGTATCTCTGACATGTGCAACCAGTTCACAGCATCAGTTTGTTTGGCAGTAAACATAGTGATAATAAGCTCTGTTCTGAACCATCTGTCTGATTTGTTCAGTGATGCAGTTTCATTCATTCAGAAGGAGAAACAAGGTGTGTGACCCCAGCACAGCTGTGCGTCTAAGGCGACTTAGTGAAATAACAGCTCTTAATCAGCCCTCGCAGCTGAAACCACGGCTTCTCTGTCAAATGAAAATACTACTGTAAATAAGTAAAATATACAACTAGTCCCACCCTGCAGAAACTGGCTGACATGAATGAAATGAAACAGAATGGCAGAGGGAGGGGGTTTGGTGGCTGATTGTGTGGCTGCACAAAGCACACAACTGGGGACCAGGGCCAGTACTTAACCAAGATCACAGTCTTTTCTCTGTCCTTAAATGAATAGCTTCACTTTTAAGGAAATTAGCTTATTTGCCTTTTTTTGTTTGGGCTAAACATTAGAAGAGAACATCAATAAGATCAATACCACTGTTCAGTAAACACGAAGCTACAGCTCGGCTGGAAATAAAGACTGTAAACAGTGGGAACCGGCCGTTTTCTGTCCACAGGCACCTCTGAAGTTCATTAATTAACATGTTATTTTATGAAAAATGAAAGTATAGTGTGGTTTTCCAGGCGGTTATGTCGTCTCTCTGACCAGCAGACTCTCCAGTGCATCACTGTGAGAAAATGGCTCCATGACATTAAAATCACAATTTGTTGCCTTTACACAATCTGTGGCTCTAAACGTAGGAAGGCACCTTTCTAAAAATGGGCTTTTCAAAGTTCACTATAAAAAATAAAAACTGAAAATCAAACCAAATTTAAGGAAGAATTAAAACATAAATTTAGAACAGGTCACAGGAAGGCCAGTCTGTGTTTTAAGAAGCCGACCTGATTTCTCTGCCCACACATGCTCAGTCTCTTCTGTTTTCAGTCCAGACTGTGTTTGTGGACCTCAGGGAACAGGCCAGCACGCACAGGGTTAAAGGTCTGAGATGTGGCTCGGAGCCAGGCCTGCCTTGGCTTTAAAAGTAATAATTAAAATTTTAAAATCAGTCCTGAAACTAACTGGCAACCTGTGCACAGACGCTGAGACGGGTGTTGAAGCTGCAGACAGAAAAGAGAGTTGCAGTAATCGAGGCGATATGAAATGAAGGCAGGGATAACGGATTTATGGCAGACATGAGTGGTTTGACCTTTGAGATTCTCCCATGTTGATGGAAACCAGACTGTACTGGTGAATTCATGTGACTAGTGAGGCCAAGGTTGCTGTCAAATAAAACACCAAGACACCACATGGGGATGAGAACCAAGTTTCTCTGTAACTTTCAGATTAGCGACTCAGGCTTGGTTATCTAGTTATGTAGGAAAATGTCATCCACACGCTCGCCTGTTCCTCTGGACACAGCCAGGCTGTTTTGTGGCTGGAGCTTTATGTCGCCAACGTTTCAAACACAACTGGCCTTTCTCAAGGCAAATCATACACCTACATGCTGTGGGACACTTGTGTTTGACTTGTCTTGACAAAGTCCAGTTGTGGTGAAACATTGTTTATTATGAATAAATCACGGACGCTTAGTGTGCGGTCATCTCGACGCGGAACCTTCCTGCACACGGACATGAGAGTGGTAAAGATCTTTTCATCTGACTTCCAGCAAGAATCAGGTCTAACTGCTCATTGTCTGCAAACGACCATGAAACCCAAGAAATGGTGCCAGTGACTGAGTGCAGACGCACTGGAAGTGAATGCTTTGTCATCATGTAGATAAAGGTTTAGTCCAACATCGAGCCGGTGTTGTCTGCGTTCTTCAGCCTTGTGGACTGACCTGTTGTTGTTGTTTTCAGGATTATTTGCTGAGTCACATGTACAGCAACGCAGCCAGGAACGACCTGTGGAGTAAACTGTCTCAGGTAACACTCACCCGTCTGCCTCTCCGCTATGTGAACCTTCTGTCAAACAAAAACAGGGATTCAAACCTGTAACTCTTCCATATTGGGCAGTGATACAACAGCCAGGCTGCCTGAAGCTGTTAACTATTTAACTAAGCGGTTCTGATGAACGCCAGAGAGATGCTCATTAAGGCCGACTTAATGAAACAGCGACAGTAGTAGTGTTGTTGCCGTGGTAACATGATTGGCAAGTGGAGATGAGGCTTGTTTTTACTTGTTTGTCCTGCGCACAAGAAGCTTCTGGAAAGTTGTCACTTTAATTTGATTCATCTTTGTTAGCGCTGCTCGTTATACTGAGATTGCTCTTTAATTAGCTGCCAGCCAATCAGAATTGTAATTACCTAAGAGGTAGTCATCTTTTTCTAATTAACTGACCTTGAGCTAAATGTTGGTCATAGACTTACCAAGATATTGATGAGTTGTCAGGATGGATAATGACTTCATTAATAGTGTAAACAGTTATTAATTAGCTAGTGTAAATTGCTCATTGATTTTTCATACGTTGTGTTGCCTAGGCCATGCGTTCGGAGGGGCGGGACATCGACATCGGAGAGATGATGGACAGGTGGACTCTACAAATGGGCTACCCTGTTGTCACCATAAGCAAGAACCAATCAGAGCAACTCCCTACTCATTACATCACTGTCAGCCAGGAGCACTTCCTGTATGGACAGGAAGTCAGAAACAACAACAGGTTAGATTCTGCCTAAATCTGCCTTTACAAGAGCAGCATTTAAAGCAAACATCAGAAGTCTGTCAGGTTACCATTGTTGACTTTTGACATTTCAAGCATAGTGTTGTAGTGTAGCCATTAAAGGAAAACTTCAGACTAAGACACAACATGTGTGACTCCACTGCTGTTCTCTCACAACAGTCTCCAGCTGCTGTAGCTGAAGTCAGAACAAACTTGTGATTTAGCTGGAAAGATGACTTAGCAAACAGGCTAATGTGGCACAGATCATGCCAATTGCTACTGTAACATTACCACCGAGATTAGCCGACGTATTTGAACAGCAACATACAGATCATAATGATTTTCAGTGGCACATAGCAAACAGTTTACCTGCCCGTTCAGCAACCTCCCGTTTAAGTCTCTCCACCTTTGTTTACACAGGCCTCTGACCTTGCACTTCTTTTTCCGTCTTTGTTTTTCTGTCTTTCTCCTCAGTTTTTTAGCAGAGTGGAAGTGGTAGAGCTACTTTTTCATCCATCTCTCTTTTTCAGCTGCAGTAATGTTGTGAATTTTCCAAACTTGGAGTGGAAACAATCTTTAAAATGAGCAAGACTCTCTGAGCCAAAACAAAATAAAGTCACAATAAAACCTACTAAGCATCTAGAGTTAGTGCACAATCATTTGGCATCAGCCTCTGTTACTGGAACATTGTGAACACCGAGACACTTGGCAAAGGTCAGGCAGGTGGTCTATAAGTGCAGGACTCTGGGAGTCCATGTGGACGCCTACACAGAGCATCCAGTAAATTACAAATATAATATTTCACCGGGATGATACGTGAGTTGCATTCACATGTCCTCATTTGAAACCGCTGGAAGTTGCAGCAACTCCAGATTGACTGACACTGTTTTCATCCACAGACTAACACTATGATTAACAGCTGTGACACGGCAGGAAAATGTGATGTTTAAATGCATGAGTTCTCATTATTAGGTGTGTGTTGTGATTTAATAACTGTTTAGTACATCACCTCAAGAGAGACTTTTGTTTAATCTTAGAGGCGGAGCCTCATGATCCCGTTGTTTGTACATCCTGACCAGATGTGCTCCCTAGAGGGTGAACCCTAATAATTGATTTTGATTGATTGGTGGGCCAGTACACTTTCCCTCCACTGCCACCAACCAGGATGAACTTTACATTGTTGTGAATGCTACAGCCTCTAGGGGGCGCTAAGCGGCCTTTAGACCCCGTACACTTACCTCCGTCTGTTCTTCTGGATCCTGGTGAAAGGTTCTGTTTCACACGTGAGTGAGCACTGCGTTTGTCTTCTCACTGATCACGCTGCAGCTTCAGTTTTTCTTCACCTTCTTTAACACCTTTACATCATTTATATTTCATCTATATTTGATTCACACGATGTTTTATTCACATCCTTCACAACCTCTGGAGTTTATTCCCTTCACTTTTCTATCGACCCACTTTCTTCTCCATCAATACTTCATCAGCTCCTTTCCTCTTTTTTCACCTGCTGTTCACAGCTTTTCTTTCCAGGTCTTTCTTTCATTTCATTCTGCCATGTTTTCTGCTGTAGTTGACATTTACAATCATTCTAACCCTCTCAGCTTCACACCAAAGTTTCTTTGCATTTCTTATTGTGTTGCTTTTCTCCTCTGCTCTTTGTTCTACTTTCATCTGGAGTCTTTTGTGTTTCACTTGAGCTCCTCTGCTCAGATTCGCTCCCAGCATCTCGTCAGCTGATGAACTGAGGCCGTTTGTTTTAGGTGGAGTTAAGATTCTCAGACGCTATGTAGTCCCGGGGTGTTATGCTTTTGGATGAGCCATTGTCATGGCCGAATGCAGCAGCGGCAGCCGATTGAAACAGAGGCCGACGCCGCCGCGTGTGGAGCCTCCTCCAGAAGCACAGCAGTGCCCCACTGTGCCACACACTGTTGACTAAGAGCAGCAGATCTCTTTTTGGTGGTGAGATGTGACAGTTATCAGCCCATATCTGAGCGGCCCAGTGTGTCTAAAGTGCTCCAGCCACAGCTGTTACACTCAGGGTGGCTGATGTTGTGCTGTTGTATTACTTTTCATCAGGAGATTTGCTGCAAGTTGTAGCTGTATGGTAGAGCTCAGGCCGATGCTACGGAAGGTTTCACATCATGTCCCCAAATGGTTGATTAAGGTGTCACACAGTGTCAGGCAGGCCCCTGCTGTTGTGTGTGTGTGTGTGTGTGTGTGTCAGGCAGGCCCCTGCTGTTTTGTGTGTGTGTGTGTGTTTAATCATAGCTTGTTTGTTTGGATTTCCTTTGCATTACTGTGCCCCGAATATTAAGTCAAGAATTCTTGAATATTGATTTTTGCATGTTGCGTTCAGTTTAGGTTTCCACTATGCTGTTTCAGGTCACGTCTGAAACTCTGGAAAACTCCCTCTGAAGTCACAAGAGGTTTGATACAGTTCTACTCCCCATCACCTGGAAGCAGAGTTTGAAAAATGGGTTCCCCTTTAATTTAAAACTTGTTCTTAACCCAGAGAAAGACACCTTGCAATTCTCAAGAGCACAGAGCTTTGATGTTCTTACTCCAGTTAATGTCATAGATACAGTAGAGCATTATTTGTACTTAGGAGTTTACAAATTTACAGCAGATTAACCTACAAAACTCACAATGAACACCTTCCTCAAAGCCTGAAAATTCATAAGCCTTGTTTCCCCTTTCAAACAGTCAACCCACCACACTATCTGCACTGGTTTGACATATCCTGTGTGCTCAGGCTACCAGCTCTGCCCTTAAACCACTGGGCACCATCTGTGACAGCACTATTCAGTTCATTACTACAGTCAGCTGCTGCACCCACTGCTGTGAGTTATGTGACAGCAGCAGCACACCTGTGTTTTCAGGCAGCTAAGAACCAGGGTATGTTAGCTTTAAAAGTTCCTCACAGCAGCTCTGAACTGGGACACAGGTTTCCAGTAACATGCACACAGGTTTTCCTTACTGATACGTTTGTAATGCCGTGTATAGGACGTTTATCTCAGGTGCCTCTTTCCAAAGAGATCTGCAGATGAAACCAATCAAACAGCCAATCAGCTGCCACTAAATACCTGACACGCGTTTATCTCTCTCTTTAAAAAATGATTTTGGTTTGAAATTAAGTTTTTTAGTTAAATAATATACAACTTTTTTCTTCTCAAACTTTATGTTGAATTTCAACTTTAAGTGTTAAGGTGACATTGATCAGTTTATTCTTATCAAACATTTACATCCCTCTCTTCCTGCAGTTCTCTGGCTGTTTGACGGAGACGTTTCAGCTCCGTGTCTTTTATTTTCCCACCATCAAACAGCTGACACAGTGAGGGAGGTAAATGCCTTTTAAAGAACTGAGCCGACAAAGAGCGACAAGGAGAAACTAGAGGACAGCTGAGCCAATGACAAGGTCGAGCTAATGATACTGAAAATAAATCAAACAGGATTTCAGACTGCATTTAAACACGTCACATGTCATCTCTGTGATAGCACAAAAAAGAAAAGAAGCTGTCAGGTCACAGGTAAACAGGACAAGTGGTGTCTGAAACAATGAGCTTTAATGCTAAACAGGACAGTTATTTTAGTCCACAGGAGCACAGTGGTGAGAAAGTAAGGTTTTCTGCCTTTCTGAAGCAGATGTCAGGTGTTTGGCACAATAATTATAATGTAGAAAAACAGTTTGACATAGAAACAAACACAATGCCAAACTACAGCAAGTCAAAATATCTGTCATTAACAAATAAACACTGGAAAACTGTCAAATCAGCAACATGGTCTAGTGCATTTACTATGCAAGAGTCAGAGTCAGAAACCCTCCTCGTGCTCAGAGTCATAACACACTGAAATCAGTCAGTGTGACTTCCACTTCCTGAGGATGTCATTATCTCCACTGTCCGTCGAGAATAAACATCCATAAATCCTCTGATACATCAGAGGGAAATGATGCTGCAGAACTTCCCTGACAATCATCAGTGACAGTTGTCCGCTCATCCACGGGTGCACTGCGAACAAGAGCTGCTAATGGCTAATTCGGCTAAATTTACCAGGACCAGTTTTATAAAATGTAAACAGATATAGGTTTAGCACCTGTCCTGTTGCCCTCCCTTTTTGTGTGTTTGTTATGTGTAAATTAGAGGCATCCATGCCCGCTTGATCCTGTCCCGCAGTCAAGCTACAGAAACACCACCATCATCTGCTGTCAGTCACTACAGGCAGGATTTAGTCTGAGAAGCTCACCCCCCTGTCTCTCATTTATGTAAACACAAGTAATGATCATTTGTGACGCTGTGCTCTATTGTTGTGCTTAGTACACAGTGTTAAGTATTGTGTTGCAGGCTGTGGAGTTAGCCTGCCCTCTAACGCATTCACGTATAGCTGCTGGCTTGTCTAGCTACACGGGGCTTTAGAGATGCTACTTGTGTTTGGCTGGGTCAGCTGAGATTACCAGTACCAGAACCTGATGTTACAGCAACACATCTGATGAGCCTTCACAGCACCTTGCTCTCCTCGTCTAAACATCATCATCTATCTGATTAGCAGCAACCTTTTGTCCTTGTTCACACAAAAGTCAAATTTCACACAGCAGCTTTTCTTTTGGAGCCACATTGAAGCACCAGGATGTCACTCTGCTCACAAGCGAAGCAGCCAGTTCACAGACAAGCAGTAGATAATTGTGGCTCTGATAATTACTGGGGTGGAGGTGAAAAACTAGCCACTGGCTCGCTGCAGATTGGGTTCAAATTGGTGACCAGGGCAGGTGATGTTAGAGAGAGGTGGCTGCTGGTCCCTTGTAAGCTCCTCTTTGAGATTCTCCACACCCCCCATCTGCTGGATGGGGTCATCGTCAGGCTGCTATTTCACCTGGATTTGAGACATGACAAGTGTAGACGAGGTCAAAATGTTGTTTAATGGAGGAAGGTGAGGAAGACGAGGGACAGACAGAGGTGAAGGGCTGTGTAAAGAGTTTCAGTGTGTGTGTGTGTGTTTCTGCCACCTTTGATGAATAAACCATCAGCTGACACACACTCACACTGTTGCCTAAAATAAACAGTCTTCATTTTGATCAAATATTAATAAACACATTCTGCGGTCCATACTGCTGACTCGCTGTGATGAAGTGTGTTTGTGTGTATGCGAGTGTGCGTGTAATTGAGTTCCTGCCAGTCACGCTAATATAAATATCAGATTAAATATTTGGATGCTATGCAGCCGTATTGATCCACGGGGGCCACAGGGACAAGATGGCTGTTATGGGAATGGTAAATAGGGTTTCTCTGGCTGATTGTGTTGCAGTGACCCCTACCCTACACACACAGACACACGCTGTCTCCTGTGTGTAAAGCTGATTGTGTGCTGTCTGTAATTAAAAACCACTTTAAGTGAAATATGAATCAGTTTAATAAAATGAGTCCAATTAAAGGCCGAGCTTCAGAGGGTCTCACTGTAACAGCTCTTTTATTAGTGCCATTAGTACCGGCATACAGTAGTAGTTCAGATTAAATGAGGCCAGTGCATTGTGTGTGTTTTAACAGCATCTAGTGGTTACTAACAAAAAGCCTCAGAAAGCTCTTTGTTCCTAAAGAGCTTTACAGTCACTGACTTTGCCCGTCACAGTTTTACTTACAGTAAAAACTCAGTGTGGTTTTCAGACGAGCAGAATAACAGACAGCCTGTGACATTGTTGTTGGTTTTGGCCTGTGACATCCAGACTCAGTGTGGTTTTCAGATGAGCAGAATAACATACGGCCTGTGATGTTGTTGGTTTTGGCCTGTGACATCCACCTTAAACAACATCTTCTTCATTTGTGTCATATTTGACACAACATTAGAATCATCCTTCTCAAGAGTCATAACCATTGATATATAAACCATGAACATGACATCAACACTTCACTCCACTGTGCTAAAATGAAGCCAAAATATTGAGTACGTCGGCCGCCGTCTTGCTTTTTTACAACCAGGTTGTGCGCTGTAGCAACCAAATAGCTGAGTGACAGCATCAGCCAATGTGTCAAATCAACCAGCAATACACCCCTTTTTATATCATTACATAACTTATTAAAAACCAGAGAAATGACCACCTGTCACACTCAGGGAGATAACATCTACCCGAAACCAAAGAAGGCACAACTGGGGAAAGCTTATCTGATTTGTACTTTGAGCTTTTAGTTTGTCCTGTCCATTATGCTAACATGGAGGACGCAGGATTTATGACCTGTACTGCAACCAGCCACCAGGGGGCAATCATGCTTGGTGTGGACTTGTGTTAGTAGTAACCTTTCCCATTTCCTCTCTGTCATGTCGCATTCAGATGGTGTGGAAAAAAAGCAGCCCTCTTCATTCACTTCTATGGGGATAGCATTCATCGCAGAGATTGTGTTCACCATAGGGGGGCTCCAGCAGAATGATGCAGCACCATATGGCAAAAAAGGTGGATCTGATTCAACTTTCACCAGATGGTAACATCAATCTGCAAAGACGCTGCATTCACCAATAATGTAAAGGGGAGGATCTGGATGTGGACGCCCATGGAAAGAAGACTCTTTCGTTTACCTTGTTAGCATGAGCATTCACTGCTATTCACTGTCAAATTTGGGCCACAGCTAATGCACCATAACAACACACCATGCATTTTCATTAGTACTGGATGTTAAACAGTGTTTTTTTAATCAATGCCGACACACTGGTGGTAGAATTGGTGCAAATGTAGAGTAGGCTACGTTAGCAGCATGGCTAACCAAAACACAATGTAAGTTCACAGGCTTGAAATGTGAATGAAGCCACTCACATCAACTCATCACAACCTGCTGTATCGTACACATCTACAACACTCCACCTGAAACATCCCACCCCCACCAGCAAAGTCTTGTGAATTAAAACACAGCAGGGAGTTGTGTTTTTGCCAGATCAATGTGAATGTACAGTAAGTGTGTACAGACTCTAGTGAGTCCTGATCCTGATTATTTATTTGCCCCTAGCCTGAACTGTTGTACTTGCTGAGAATCAACCTGCTCCCGTCCATGTGACTACAGCTTACAGTAGCCTGTTCCCTACTCCAGCTAGTCTGCATGCTTAGTAGCCACTCTGTGTTCAGTGTTTTACACTTGTTACCAACCACTATGATTACCTGTTTTTTCATATAAGCTGTATTACTGTACTCTCTTGTACTTACCCGAGTTAGCCATGGTACCATGTATTTACCTGAATCAGTTACCGTTCCTGTATTAATTGTGCAAAGCCTTGTGTCACCCTGTTACCAGTACTCCAGTTAGTATTGCTAGTAAAGTCCTGTTTTCCCCTCAGCTGTGCATCAGGTCCTCTAAATTACAGTTGTGGCAGTTCTGCTGAGTTTCTCCTGAGTCATTCTGTCTGTCTCACTGCTATTCAGAAACAATGTCACTCCTAAATGTCAGCCTTGTTTAGGCGCAGGAGTGATGCCATTTTCAGATAAATGAATTGTTTTTTCAAAGAGTTTATGATGCAGGTAGGTCTAAGGTTCTTCTCTCATAAAGTAAAGAGGAATTTATGTATCTTTCAGCCGATCTGAAAATGTTAAAATCACCACAAACAATTTTGACTGGACAGCATATTAACCTCTGGCTCTCTGGAAAAGACAATAACCTTCAGGCACTTCCACTTGACTGATGTTTGCTACTGCTGTAGCTATTACACTCGCACTTTCTGTCTCTGCCTCTGTCGCCCACTCCATTTCCAGCTGACTGATGTTGAATGATCATGGCTGACCATCACTCTCACTCTCTAATGTGTCTCTATCTGATAACTGAGGCAATAAACCCCAATCCAATTCCACTGTTCATTACTGACATCACTCTCCCTCTCTGTAGTTTACAGTGGCAGGTCCCACTGACAGTTGCCGTGGGGAACACGTCCGCTGTTTGTTCAGAGAGCCTCATCTGGATCAACAACAAGACAGGTACAGTACTGCTGGTATGTTTCAAGTACTATTAGAAGATACTGCTTTGTACTGCTCTGAGATCTGATATCAGTTTATTTTTTCTGGTGAGGGTTTAATTATCTAGTTACCTTGAGAAAAGTAGCTGTTAACTTGGGATTATTTAGTGATGTTAATACAGAATACTGGCGTCCCTGGTAGGCTAGTGGTTAAGGCGCAGCGCTCTCACTGCTGCGGTCCGGGTTCGAGTCAGGGTTGCGTCGGGAAGGGCATCCAGCGTAAAACACGTGCCAAATGTCAACATGCAAGTCGTTAGTGTGACGATTCGCTGTGGCGACCCCTAAACGGTAAAAGCCGAAAGTGACTTTCTTTCTTAATACAGGATACTGTCTCTTGATCACAAATTAATTATTTCATCCAGAGATGTGACTTGAAGGTAACTGACTGGGAAATGAAACTCACAGGTATATTCCTTTGAAGAAAACTGTGTCTATCAGTGCTGGGAGTAAACCTCACTCCCACTTCTGTTTGTGGAGAATGAAGTCTGTTCTGGTTTTTCAAAATAAAGCTATTTTCTTCTTTAGAAATCAGTTAAAGTCAGGATAAAGTGGAAATAAATTTGTATTCTGAGTTTGTCACACCACAGGAAGATGTTATTAACCACCCAGATAAATTTGAATGATTAAAAAGATCACCAGCTATATAAAATTGAATATTGGGGGAGCTAAAATAGAACGAGTACATGAAATTAAATTTCTAGGTGTCATAGTTGATGACAAATTCTCCTGGAAATCTCATATCAGATATGTTCAGAATAAAATAGCAAAAATATATCGATATTGGCAAGGGTTAGATATATTTTGGACAGGAAAGCATTACGCATTTTGTATTCCTCATTGATTCTACCATACTTGGAGTATGGCGTTGAAAACTGGGGAAACACATACAAAAGCTCACTTCAACCATTGTATATATTACAAAAAAGAGCGATAAGAATTGTGCATAAGATGGGGTATAGGGATCACACCAATGTAGCTTTCATACAGTCTAAATTGTTAAAATGTTTTGATTTAGTGGGATATAAGACTGCTGTGTTTATGTATAAAGCCAGGAACAATTTATCACCTGGTGGAATTCAAAAACTATTTAATGAAAGGGAAGGGGGATACAATTTAAGGGGTCAGTTAAATTTAAAAATTCATGCTATACGTACAACCAAAAAAAGATTTTGTATTTCTATAAGTGGGGTAAAACTATGGAATAATTTAAGTGTAGACATAAAAAATAGTAATAGAATTGATGAGTTTAAACATAAATATAAAGGTATGTGTCAATCAAGATATATGCAAGAACAGGCTCAATGATTAATTACATGGAACATTGTGGGTGTGGTGTAAGAATGTTAACACTGTTATATTCTTTTTTTAGTATAATACTTGTGTGTGTAGAAGTGAATCATTTACTGCTTGCAAACCAATGATGGTAAGATGATGTCATGGGGTAGGACTGGATAAGTCTGACTTCTTCCTACTCCATTCAAGCATGTACTAGGTATAAGCAAATTGATATTGGATTGTGTGTAAAAATGTGTGTTGTTATATCAACTGTTTTATATGCTTGAAAGAATAAATCAAATCAAATCAAATCAAAATTAGCTTTCAAAATCATGAAAAAATAAGTATTCTCTGCACAGAAATGCTGTGAAAATGTGCCATATGTTCTCATCATGGATGTATTAAGGGGGAACAGGAAAGATGCATTGCAGGGTGAAGACATAGCTACCTAGCAAACTGTAGGCTGTCATAGGCGTAGTAACTCACGATCAAATAGGAGAACTGGTACTAATGCGCTAGGGCTCTACAGGAGAACTTTATCAGAGACCACTGAGTCAGATTAGAAATATGGTTTTGGTGTTTATGGAGCTGCTTCTTCTTTTTGTTGGTGTTTGAATGACAGCACACTGCTCAGCTCCGACACACACACACACACACACACACACACACACACAGGGAGCAGGAGGCTGCTGTCTAGCTGTGGAGACAGGGAGCTGTATGTTTGTTAATGCTCTTACAATAAAACCTTTGAGCAAACAGCCAGTTGGAGTAATTTAGCAAAGCACCTGCTAAACAAGCATAAACTTGCAGAGAAGTGAAACTTTAAGCTTTGTCCACAGTCTGCGAGTTTGTTAGGCTAACAGCTAACAGCTAGCTGTGTTGATCTGTCCAGTGCAGCAGCAGCTCCATGGTCCGCTGTGCATCCATTATCTCCCCTCTCTCCTTCAACCAACTACAGTTGGTTCAGACCCGCTTCAACACATTCACCGTTCACGTGTTCCTACTTTTGTCATTGTTTAATACTGAGGCAGCAGCATTAATCTTATTTCTTTTAACAAACATAACTGAGGCTGTAAATTTTCATCTGTGCTCATATCGAGTGGACCTAAAAACAAATGCAGGCATAGAGCTCTGTGCACTCTAGCTTTCATAACATGAAGGTTTTCTGACATTGATAATGTGTTTAGAAACAAACCACTGTTTTTGCTTTTCCCCAACCTTCAGTTTCCTTCTGTTCTTTGAAAGTAAAGGGCAACGCACACTGGCGGTGTGTAGCTCTCGTCAAAACCCCGCACCTGTTCCTTTCTATGTTAGCCCACACATCAGTGGTGAACCACGTCAGAACAAATGAAATACTGTAATACTAGCCTGTTTCAGTAGTCCCACGTTGAATTTGCACTGCTCCCACTGAGTTTTACGGGTGACGCCCCCACTGTGTGTTGCCCTTAAGGCTCTTTCAGTTTCTAAATTTAGCAAAATAAAGCTTGTTCCACTTTGGTTTGTGGAGAACAACGCTGATTCTGTTCTGTTTGTTGGAGAAAGTACATTTCTTTCAACACGTTCTCCACCTTTGTTCTTACCCTATGGAGCCTCTCATGAATTAGCCATGGGTCATCTAAGTATGAAGCATACCTACTGTATGGGTCGTAATGAGGTGCGTACACAGTCTCCTCTGTGGTGAATACAGCTCATTTTGCATCTACTTCCTGTTGAATAAGACTCCCTATAGATTTGTGTTTGGAAAATAAACCTAATTCTGCTTTGGTTTTCAGAGAATGGAACTGTCTCCAGGTCAGTTTTTTTCAGGTTGAAAAAAATTTGCTTGCTGAAAACTTGCTGTCAGGCTGTGAGGAATAGACTGTGTTCTGCTTTGGAGAATAAAGCTTGTTTTGCTCCACATAACAACTGTGCTCAGAATAAAACCTCTCTCTCAGCTTTTGGAGAACAGAGTTCATATACATCTGTTTTTGAGAACAAAACTGTCTCTTTTTGTTTATGAAGAGCAGAAGTCTCTTAGTTTGTTCTGCTTGTGTTTATTAACATCTGACGACAGTTTAATCTCCAAGGTAAAGTATGGGCTCTGCTGCAAGAAGCACAAAGAAGGGTTTCAGACTCAAAGTGCACTTATTTCATTTTAATTTCAACCTGAGGGAAAGAATCTGAGGAAGTGGGCCAGATCGGGTCAGCAGCTCCTTCCCTTGTTCTCCTCATGTGGCAGTTGGAAAGTATAAAAACCTTCCTGCTAAAGTTTGCAGCCTGTTTTTACAGCCTCTGAGGTTGTGCTGGTTCTTGTGTGAGAGGCTGTGATGTCGCTCTAATCAACACAACCTTTCAGTGTGATGGTTGTAAAAGCGGTGAGGATCTTGCAGTTTATATTTAGTTGCTTATGTTCAGCATAGTAGATTCTCTGCTGTATATGCAGTTTTTTGTACGGTAAATGTGTTCTGAGGCATTGAGGTGCTGACGTTTTTCCATGTTTGCATCTGCTTTGCTTTTTCATCTTCACGTGTTACAAGAAATACTGTAGGTACAAATAGGTACCTGAACTTACTACAGATCAGTGCATCCTCAGTGTCACGTCATACAGGCGCTGGTAGAGGAAGTACTGAGATCTTTTACTTAAACGAAATACTCAGTTACAAGTAAACGTCCTGCATTCAAAATGTTAAGTAAAAGTATTAATGTATAAGCTTTAAAATATACTTGAAGTACTAAAAGTACTCACATTATGCAGAATGTCAAATATAACATTATTATATCACATTATTGGACTATAATTATTATGTACATCATATTTAATGTTGCAGATGCTAAAAGGGGGAGGAGCTAACTTTAACTAGCTGATAATGTGAAGTACAGCTGGGGAGTGAATTTTCCACCAGAGACAAATAAAGCCTTAGGATTATGCTCTATTTTCCTTATTAATCTTACTCTGAAAAGTAACTAGTAACTAAAGTTATAAAATTCATGTTTATCCAGTTTGGATTGCCTCGTTAAGGGATGTTCATGTGATAAACTGTTAACGCTTTGATTTACTGACTCGTTTTCCTGTTTTGCCTCAGAAACACACAGGATTGGTCAAATGGGTGAAAACACCTGGTTGTTAGGCAACATCAACCAGACAGGTTACTTCCGTGTGAACTATGACCTCCAGAACTGGAAACTGCTGATTCAGCAGCTTCACACCAACCATCAGGTAAACCTATGTTTCAGTCCATCTCTGTCTCTGTCTCTGTCTCTGTGTCTGTTACTGTCTGACTAAGTCTGTCTCTTTGTCTTAGATCATCTCTGTGGGGAACAGGGCGGGGCTTATCGATGATGCCTTTAACCTGGCCAGGTGAGTCTTGTCTTAACCAGATGATGCCTTGTTCAGAAGCAACAACAGACCTCATGCACGATTCAAATGTAAATTTCCCTGTACAGAAGAACGCAGTGCACGGACAATCTCTTCTCCACTTCCTTGTCTGTCTGAGTGATCCGTCTGTCACTCAGGCAGTGAGACGTGTGGACACAGAGGGAGCGCAGCGAGGCGTATCTATAGTGTCTGTGTGTTTTTAATGAGTGTGTCTTTGATGCGTCTGCCTCCCTCAGATATTTCTGTTTTTAATGGACTGAATGTTTTGAATGGATGGAAACAGTGCAGTGTTGTCTCCGTCCGCTGGGCAGGTGGTTTTATGCTGCTGTGCCCGTGGTTTCGCTGAGTCAGCTTTATATACAAATACTGTATACACTTAATGTGGGCTCAGTTAAGACCTATGGATTTTCCTGCACAAATTTACATTCCCACACAACGTGTTAGGATGGAGCTTTGTCAGCTGTGCAGCTGTGTGACTCAGGGATCAGAAAGTTTTCCCAAGTCTTTCTGTCTGCATGTTCTCCTTTGCATTATTTTCCTCAGTTGCTACCAAAAGATGTTTAGCACAAGCCTCCTGCAGCTTTCCAGTAAGATTTCATCATCATCTCAAACACGAGCTTTGGGGTTTGACTGAAAACACTATTTGTTTTTTAGTGACGGTCGATGACTGCGTGTTCTCCTGCTCTGGTTCCAGGGCTGAGAACCTTTTCATGCATTTCAGTTTTTACCTGCATTTCGATGGGAGGAACAAGGAGCCAAGTTTAGTTTCTGTTCTGCAGTTCAAGGTGCCAAAAAAGTCTCTAAAGCTACAACTTTTTTGCTGCTTCATTCACACTATAAGGAATCACTGGGTGCCACTAGTACTGAAACAGGTTGACCTTTCTTATCGTGTTTATTGACAATAAAAACTAATATCATCAGCTTCAGGACTGGTTTTAGGACTAGCCTGTATTGCTCCCTCCTCAGACCAACTCTCACCACTGATGACCAGGACCACCCCAAATCTGACACTTGTCCACGTCAGTCAGGTCTTTTCACCTGTCCATTTCTCCCACATCCAACACACTGTGCTCTTACCGTCTGATACATGGTCACCGCCATAAATGTCAGGTAATGCACCTCTTCTCCCAGAAAACTGTTGCTATTACAGCTGTGGGGCGGCTGTGGCTCAGGAGGTAGAGCGGGTCGTTTCCTAACCGGAGGATTAGCGGTTCGATTCCCAGCTTGTCCAGTCAACATGTTGAGGTGTCCTTGAGCAAGACACTGAACCCCCAGTTGCTCCCGGTGATGTCACCGGTTTGGGAGTGCGAATGGGTGAATGGCCGAATAATGTGAAAGCGCTTTGAGTGTGCTGTAAAAGCATAGAAAGGCGCTATACAAGTATAAGACCATTTTTTTAAGACCATCACAAATTCTTTGGTATTCTCGTGTTTATTTCTTTTGGAACACAAAAAGCAGAGGAAAAAAAAAGCCAAATCTGACCCATTCCACACAGAAAGTGGACTGGACTGAATTACTGACACCTTTTCAAAATCATCAGAAATAGTGATGCTCCTTTAATTTGTAATGAAACTCACCTGTAGCATCCAACAGGTGCTGTAATATAGAAATCACATTTGCAGCCTTTGTGTGGTGTGGACCACACTGAGCATTGAGAAAAGAAAGAAGAACAAAGAATTGTCTGAGGATTTGAGAACCACAGTAACGCCTGGACAGTCTCCAGAGATGGACACAGGGCAGGCACAGGGCGCAGCAGTGTCAGCTCCCACTATTTGTCACCATCTGAATGACAAGGGAAACTATGGTAGGAGACCCAGGGGACCCACTGCTGACACAGACATAAAGAAGCCAGACTGGAGTTTGCCAAAACTTACAGTGCCTTGCGAAAGTATTCGGCCCCCTTGAACTTTGCAACCTTTTGCCACATTTCAGGCTTCAAACATAAAGATATAAAACTGTAATTTTTTGTGAAGAATCAACAACAAGTGGGACACAATCATGAAGTGGAACGAAATTTATTGGATATTTCAAACAATCTGAAGACCACAAATGAATTCTGGGACACAATGTAGGGCCCAGTGTCAGAAAACTGGGTCTCTGTCAGAGGTCATGGTCTCACAGCAGGACAATGACCCAAAGCAGACTTCACAAAGCACCAGAAATGGTTTCATACAATGAGTTGGAGAGTTGTGAAGTGGCCAGCAATGAGTCCAGGTCTAAATCCCATAGAACTCCTGTGGAGAGATCTCAGAGCAGCAACTGCGAGAAGGAAGCCTTCAAATCTGAGACCTGGAGCAGCTGGCAGAAGGAGAGTGGTCCAAAACTCTAGTAGAGAGGAGGAAGAAACTCACTGATGGTTACAGGAAGCAACTGACATCAGTTATTTTGTCCAGAGGGTGGGCTACCAAAGTTGAGGGTGCAATAATTCTGTCCAGTCTATTTGTGGAGCTCTGTGTGGAATGGATCAGATTGGGCTTTGTTTCTGCTTTTTGTGTTGTTCCAGTGCAAACAGGAGAAATAGAGAATACCAAAGAATTTGAGATCGCAACCGTTTTCTGGGGGAAGTGGTGAATTATCTGACAGAAATTCAGGGATGCCAATATTTTTGGCCATGAATGTATTTCTGACCTTCACATGCACCATTGTTCCCTCATTAACAATGATATTTGCTTCATCTGTGAGTGACCATGATCTAAATAATAACCATCAAACACTCAGCAGATCTTCTACTCAGGCTTCCAGTCTCCTTTTCATTCCGTCGTTACTTCTGTACACTGAGAACAGTGGAGTCTTTATTCGCCTAGTTTTCACTGTACTTATTTATTTGGTTAATGAGGCACTACATACATTTTAAAAAAGACATTTATCTTCCAGATTAGTTTCTGGGTGCAGCTCCTCTGGCTCCATTATTCCTGGAACTGTGTAGTTGAAAGTTTGTTTGTCCTTTTGTTTTTGCAGCTCACAGTTCACACCTCCAGTACTTTGTTAGCACACAGCCAAGTTCAAATTAAGGCACAATGACTGAAAAACATAAGTGAATAAAACAAAGTTGACAGCTAGCAGAATTTCCCTTGAAGCAAGGCACTGATGTGAGAGATGTAGCTAGTTCCTGGGATCACTCTGTGGGTGCAGATGGTTCATTTTCAGGAGACGTTATCCCAGAGTGTCACAATCACATCTGCTCTGTGAGATGACTGTCCATGTTTCTGCATCCAGAGTATGTATGAACGCTGTGAAAAGGAATTCAAAAACAACCTGAAGCAGACTGTGATGGATGGAGGATCAGTGAAGCTGCAGTCACAGGGAGAGGGGTGGAGGAGCGAGTTGTTTTTCATCATGACATTTTTAGCCTGAAGCTTTTTGAGCTCTGTAACCAAAATCTGCTCTGACACCAGCGCTATAACTCAATCTACCCCCCTCTCTTCCTTTTTCCTGTATGTCTTCTCAGCCATCTGTCCTCTGTCATGTTGAATGAGCAACAGCTAGAGACGACTGTGCTGCCGTCCTGGGTTAGGAGCTCAGCTGGGGTTTTCAGTCCGTAGAGACAAAAGAAACACAACTACAGATCTATTAATATTCAGGCTGACAACACAAGATGCTCTTTCTTCAGCCCGCATATGTTGCCATAGTGACAGTGGCCTATTGGTAGTGGCAGGTGTGTGGGGAATCCCGCGTTCGTAGCATGCACAGTGGACATATCAAAAAACTTGGGTTAGACATGTATTTCTTTTATTTCCAGACAAAAATTCATTCTTCTATTTTTGAGACCTTCTGGGACTGATAAAAGATTTACACGTGCAAAAGAGTCTGGACAACTTCTCTCAGTCTCTCAGTATTTACACATAAATAGTTCAAAGTGTTTATTTGTCATATACACAGTCAGGAAACGTGTTTCCCTGTACAATGAAATTCTTACTTTGCCGTCCACATGAATGCCACAAAATACAAATGAAATATAAAGTAGATAAATAACACTAAATCTAAGTAACAGAATGTATGCTGAGATGCAACAATATAATAAAAAATTGTGCAAACTGAGAATGTAAACAGTACATCACGTATTTCCTGGTAATAAACTCCTTAGCCGTTTAGAAGTCTGATGGCAGAGGGAAAGAAAGAGTTTTTCAGTCTAGTGGTCCTGCATTTCACACTTCTGAACCTCCGGCCAGAGGGTAGGGAGGTGAACAGTCCATGCTGGGGGTGGGTGGGACCTTTGAGGATGGAGGCAGCTTTCCTACACACCCTGGTAAATGCTCTGCAGAGAGGGCAGTGGAGTCCTGGTGATCTTCTTCGCAGTCTTGAATGATGAATATTTAAATATATTGATGACTACCATGTCTAACAAAAAAGATGTAGTAAGTGATCATATTTGCTCTTTTCTGATGTCTGAAGTTAAGGCTTGGTTTTTGTTAGTAAACAGTGACATTTTCAAGGAGTCCGCTAAGACTGATAATCAGTAATCTAGTCAGGGATCAATATACCCATTGCAAGATCTGGAAACATGGAAACATTGCTAACAAGTCAGCAAATGTATCCAGATTATCAATCCCACTGTTTGAGGGTCAGATTAAAAGTGAACGTACCTGACAGTAATCACTGTGCCGACCCACACTGCCCAGTAGTTAAACTGTGATGGATGTTTGCAGCAGACAAGTTGGCTACTAATTTTACCTGTAACTCATAAATTACATTAAAACTAAATGAATAAAAATAAAGTTGGGAGTAAATATTAATTTTTAAAGATTTAAAGAGTTATTTTACCTGGAAGGTTTTATATGTGTTTTATTTTTGAGTGATGCAAACGCTGGGGCTTGGTCTCACAGAATAAAAGACATTGTGATTTTAATATAATGAATAACACCTGTAATAACTGGGGGTTTCATTATCTACAGTACAGTAGCTCCTCATGTTCTTTTTTGTTTGTTTTTTTCCAATTTCCCAAATCTCAAATGGTTTTGTAGAGTAAAGTATAGATATTATTACTGGCAGACATAGTGGCCAAAACTAGAAAAACTTGACTGGGACAAATAAATCAGCTGTCGTGTCATGCAATGATTGAAAATATTAGTTTTAGCACAGATACAGGTTTTGGGTGAATTTAGCTAATCTTAGCACAAAGAGGAAAAGCAAGGGGAAAGATGCAAGCCAAGCTCATTTGCAGGAAGCCTCTTCCTCACAGAGATGATAGTTCAGCATTTTTTTCCTCTGAATGTTGCTTATTGGATTCATTACAGTTTGATAGATCTTTAATCTCAGAGTTAATTTCAGTAGTGCTGATTCTTCTGCTGTTTACACTTCAATAGGCTGAGAAATCCACACAGCGCTAAATGCTTATTGGTGGCAGCAGGACCGTGTGTGTGTGGAGCTAGTTAAGCAGTAATAAATGGCTGTGTCTCTGCGAGTGTGCGCTTAAACAGTGATGGATGTTGCCGCTCTTTCTCTGGGTTCGTGTATGTGTGTGACCGCAGTAGTCCCTCGTTAGCTCTCCAGTGAGCCTCGCTAATGGCTAATGGACAAACAATTAACGAGCCCCTAATGATGTTAACGAGTGAATGAGCTCGTTAAGGCGACAACAGTGTGAGACACGCGCACAGAGACTGTAACCGAAAGAGAAAATCTATAATCTCTTCACTTATGAACCAGACAGTTTAACTCTTCCACTCCAAGTAATGTAGTTCCCAAAATGTTGAACTACTCCTTTAAAGGTTTTCAGAACATCACAGGGAAAGTGTTTAAAAAGCTACACTTTAATGACGGATCAATGTGAACTGTCTGTGTGTAACGTGGTGGCGTCCATCTGCATGGTTGTGTGGATGGCTGGTCAGGTGAGTGGTAATGTTTGGAAAGATATAAAACAGTGATGAACAACCAAACAGGCTGACAGATTAATGGCTGGATGCTGTTGCCATGGTGACCACCATCTCTCTCATCACGTTGAGTCCCATACGGATTTTAGAGCGCTTTAAACAGGAAGTCTGTGCAGGCTGCACGGATTATGGTAATGTCCCAGAGGCCAGGTGAATGATGGGAATGGAGATGAATGTGTGGAGGTTGGTCTGGTTGTTTATGAGGCAGACTATGGAAATATGATGCTCTGGAATTTAGAGTTTGTCTGCTGGCAGCTCAAGGAGTTGGAGTCTTATCTCAAACAGATTAACTTTGTGTGCAGGTCTGTCTCTCTGTCAGCCTGTCTGTGTGTCTCTGTAAATCAGAAAACAGTCCAAAAGTAATTTCAATAAAATAATAGTAGCCCGCCCCCTTCACCTCGTCTGTGTGTGTCACTTTGATTGACAGCTCTTCAGTAAAGGTCACTGCTCAGCCTCAGTCAGTCTGAAGTCTTAAATAACTGCAGCAATTTCTCACCGGTCACCTCAGCCTCTCTGCTCAATGATCCAAATCAAACCAATAAAACTAACATCACCTCTATGAGACCACTTCCTGTCCTCGGCCGCCACATTAATATTCATGAGCTGTGGGCGGGGCTGAAGGTTGAAGCAGGAAACAGGTGAATCCCCCTCCATCCACTCCACCAACCCAGAGCATCATGAATGTTAATGAATAAACAAAAGAAGCTTGTTAATATTGATGAGGCCGAGGATATAACCCATGCTGCTGAAAAGCTCC